TGTCAACAGTCTGATTAATACGAGCCTGCAGACACACACACTGCCAACTGGCTGCCAGCCAACACACACACCAACATTTATTTAGCCAAACAAGTGTATGTATGCATGCTGGACGCTAATACCACTGTACATCAACAAGCTAACAACTGAAAAAGTAGCTTGTTCTTATTCTTCTTGTTCTTGTTCTATTTATTGTTCTTCTTGTTCTATTTTTCGTTCTTCTTGTTCTATTTTTTGTTCTTCTTGTTCTTGTTCTTGTTCTTCTTATTGTTATTATATTTCTTGTTCTTCTTGTTATTATTGTTATTATTATTATTATTATTATTATTTCTTGTTCTTCTTGTTCTTGTTCTATTTCTTGTTCTTATTGTTTTATTTTTGTTCTTCTTGTTCTATTTTTTGTTCTTCTTGTTCTTGTTATTATTATTATTATTATTATTATTATATTTCTTGTTCTTCTTGTTCTATTTTTTGTTCTTCTTATTACTATATGTCTTGTTCTTCTTGCTCTATTTTTGTTCTAATTCTTGCTCTATTTGTTGTTCTTCTTGTTCTTTTTCTTGTTGTTGTTCTATTTGTTGTTCTTCTTGTTCTACGGAAGGTTTTCTGCACAATTTCTGATTACGAAGAACTACAATACAACAAGCTCCTCATATAAATATTTTATTTTAAGCTTGTCCTGATCACCTTTTTTCAACATTGTTGCGATAACTTATTGTGTAAATAAAGTTTTGTTAAAAACCAAAATCTTCTTGTTCTTGTTCTTCTTCAGGGGTCTGCACAGTTAAGTCCTTCTCCACCACCTCAGTCAGTCCTCACTCCAACTACCTCCATGTCCTCTCTAACTGCATCCATAGAATTTTTGCTCTCAAACGGTTAAAGAAATGTTTAGTCCATTTTGATTGTGTTCTGTGGCAAAGCTACTGTATTAACAGCTAATATCTTACCCGTTGTGGGTCGCTCTGACTGATGAGCTAACGGCTAGTCTGGGCTGATCTGAGACAAAAGTAGAATGAGTCAAATCTCAAAAATCCTACAGCGATTCATTCAAAAATGAATGTCGCAGACGTTTACGTGGTCATCATTTTCGTAATACATGGTCAATGGCAAGCACAAGTAGCAGCAGCAGCTAGCTGTAACACTTCCAGTGCAGCTTGCCACATCTCCTGCAGCAATTTTATAATTGTTCTGCCCAAAAACACATGTAATAAAGGTAAATGAAATAGTGTTTGGATAGGATGGGAATATACACAAAAGATGTAGGTCTACTCTGCGTAGCTATTATAGCTCATCAATGTAGTATGAGCGGGACTTTGTTTCGCATTGTTTAGTTTTTTGGGGGGGGCATATATTAAAAATCTAGTGCATGCATAACATTTACGACAACTTATGCCATTGTATATTAGCGTGCTGGTAACTTGTTCAAAACACACCTAGCTTTTGCAACTTATACCAGCGTGTTAGCTTGTTAGCATGCATTGACGCTACACATTGCTGTGTTTCGGCCTCTTTCGGGAACAGGCTTGGCAGGTGAATCCTTGGCAGTCCCGTTGTTTCATAATCATAATATGAAGGAACTGGTAGACTCTGTTTATTCCAGTTTGGGTTCTCCGGTTAGCAGCAATGCTAACCGTTGAGGTGTTATATGAACTAAGTTAGGGTCCTGCACTGGTGGTTTAAAATAAATCCTGTCAACTTTAGCTGTTTTAATCACCCCTTTCCTCTTTTCATGCTGTCATGTTTCCTGATTTGAGTAATTACCACGCAGGTTAATAAAGTTTAACCAAAAGGTATTTACCGGAAGCGGTATAGACGTGTGCCAAAAAAATTACAGCTCATTCTAAAGATGTAGGCTTGATTTTCTTTTGAAACAAGGCAAAACATAATACTGACCACATCTTCCATTTTATTTTATTTTCAGTTTTGTGTTAAACATGCAGCAATTCACAAAACTCTGTGGTGTAAACGGAGTAAACTTAAAGTTGTCAAAAGGTTTTTTTTTCTTCCTGTTAAGAGTCAAAGTGTATTCACACTTCATTTAGTAGAACTGTAACAACTAAGTGCATTTGTACAACTCTTTGGCAGAAAGTGTGCAGTGAAAACAACAATAGAGAGAGAACACACTGAATGTTCTGCCAAAAACCTCCAACACAAACACACGCAGCAACAACTAAAGGCAGAATACATCCACACATGGAAGTGCACAGAGGGGGCAGTCATTCAAAATACAAAGTAGAATGACCTGTTTCAGGCTGAATAAGTTAAATGGTGCTACAAAGGCTTTACATTTAAATTAAACCCTGTATAATATATCAAAAATGTATTTGTCATGTGTGTACTGTTTCAATATGGCCAAGCTCTGCCATAGATTTCAGCACAAACTGCACTCCAGTTACATATGCATGTCCAAAAACGACTTTGACTGTAGGGGTCAAAATACTTAAACATATCATTGATTGTGTCAGAAGCATTTGTAATGTGTGTGTGTGTGTGTGTGTGGGGGGGGGGGGGTGTCTGGGGGTCCTCCCCCAGAAAACTTTGAAAAAAATAGATGCCATTTCTAGCATTCCAGTGTATTTTAATGGATTGTTTTAATCATCTACATTTGCCTACACTTGATTCAACAACAATTTTAGAGAGCATGGCACAACAAGTAGCCTGACCAACAGCTCTCCTTGTGTGAATAGAGCATGTTCTGCTTCTCTCACGCATGCCTCCCCTCCTCTGGTCGACAACGGCCGGCATTAACGTAGCGCTCAGCTAGCGACGTGCAATACAGACACGCTAGATAAAATGCTACAGGCGTAGTTCTCTGCTTCTCTCACTCATCCTAACCCCCCACCACCACCTCGGTCAACAACTGCCAGCACTAACGTAGCGCTAAGCTAGCATGCAACACAGAGGTGTCCCCCACACCTCACAGACAAAAAAATTCCCTCAGAGATGAGCATCTTGCTAAGGCAGGTAACCTCGGGGAAACACTGCATGCGGTGCGGAGAGAGGTTGTAGGGAACCAGGAAAACCCGGAGTGGACTTTTAATGGTTTGAGTATTCTCCCAATAATGAAGTGGAATGGATTCATTCATAAAAAAATAGAAACAGTGCTGAGTGAACTAATATTTCATGGTAAATGTTAGGGGTCCAAACAAATATATATTTTTATGTGAGGGGAACACGTCCCCTTCATATATAAATGTTGTGACACCTATGAAACACATGGTAAGGTAATGTTGACTCAAAAAAAGACAAAAGTCAGGAAAATGTATCCCTGATTTAACTCTGTCTGATTAATCAGTGTGGGTTATAAAGAGCAAAACTATTGTCATTTCATTAAAAACACATGAAGTAAATGTGGCTGGGGCCATTTAAAATCTTGGCAAACCACTTTGTCCAAAAAGACATTTTTATTTTACGCACGCTGAAAGAAATATTTTCAGTTAAAGGTTTATTTCCTGCTGGTATTTCCAGATGAAGAAAAATGGGAGAATGACTCATCATGTTCAACGTTTTTTCCTCCGTTACTCAGGCTTTGTGAAACTGTATATTTTTGTATATCCTGATGGGTTCTCTGTGATGTTCTTATGTGGTGTGGCAGAAATGTCCTGTATTTCTTTGTGGTCAGACAGATCCTACCATTTGGACTGTCTCATCCCCGGGGTAGTCTGCTTGACATTTGTTTTTTATAAATCATCAAATCTGAATTTTGCCCTTTTGTTTTTGCATCAGTATTTATGACAATCCCTTTACAGAAGCATCTAATAGCATATATTGCCCCCCCCCCCCCCCCCCCCCCCCCCCCCCCCAACACACACACACAAAGCAAAAAACAATAATAAATAAATAATAATAAATGGCACTAAAATAATAAATAATAAAACAATGGCACTAATGTGAATATTGTATCCAGGGTGGTTTTGTTTTTCCTAAATGTCAAAAGAGTTTGAGATATTTATTTGTTACCAGTCTGAAAATGTATCAGAGTCAGGTTTCTTTATTTGTCATACATGTGATACATGTGGTGGAATGAAAGCGTGTACACAGGGTCCCAGTTACATCCAAAAGCATATTGTACTGATTATAACATATTCTGCTTTGTTGGGAAAAGCCGATAAATCAACTTGTACATCAATCATGGTGTGTTCTTTGTGTAATAATAGGTAATACAATGAGTTGAAAATCTCCTATAATAATAATAATGATAATGTCATCACTGTATGTTTCCATACAATGGCAAAATTAAGTCTCTGCATTTAACCCATCCACCACCAGGTGGTGCAGTGGGCGGCTATTGAGGGTGCCCGGGGGGCATATTGGGGATGAGGTGTGCTGCCCAGAGACACTACGAGGTTTGCAGTGACTGGGGATTGAACCTGGGTCTTTCAGGTCCCGAGCCAGCTGCCCTGCCTCTGCACCATAAGTCTCAAGAAGAATTTTAGAAGTTGATCAAATACAGCACATTCTGCTTTAATAATCAATAAATGATCTATTTATGATTTTTTTTCTGCTATACAAAAAAGGGCTA